TGCCCGCCCTACCCCAATAGGGTGTGGGGCCAGCTGGCCAACCTCCTGCAGCCCCTCCCCCAGGCTGGCCCTACCCCTAATGGGCTCCCCCACTCCGATTGGCCCGCAGCCCCTTCCCCAAGCCAGCCCTGTCCTGATGGGGCCCCAATAGGAGCGGGCTGGCCAGACCCCATGCATGCACGAATTTGTGCACTGGGCCTCTAGCATTTAAGATAAAATCAGTGACTAACTCTGAATGGGATGATATGGACTTTAGTGGTTAAAATAAAGGTTTGCCCTAGTTTATAAAAATTTATGGATTACATAATAATTCAATCCCAAAATAAAGTTAATTAGGTATCAAATTAGATTTGCATATTATGCATGTTGATCTTATGAAAATATAAATATTCAGCAAAACTATTTTAAGACACGAAAATAATGTTTTAAACAGTGCAGCTGATGCCCTAACTGGTTTGGCTTAGGGGATAGAGCTTCAGCCTGCGGACTCAAGGGTCCCAGGTTCGATTCCGGTCAAGGGCATGTACCTTGGTTGTGGGCACATCCCCAGTAGGGAGTGTGCAGGAGGCAGCTGATCGATGTTTCTCTCTCATCGATGTTTCTAACTCTCTATCCCTCTCCCTTCCTCTCTGTAAAAAAAATCAATAAAATATATTTAAAAAATAAAAATAAACAATGCAGCTGATTACACTTACAATTCCACTCAATGAGTGATTGTCTTGGAAAAAGTGTGAAATAAGAGGCATAACCTGATATTTCCTCAATTGGTCTTAGCTCTTCCCTAGCCATTACTATATGAGATTTTTACTTTATGCATTAACTTTTGAACCCCACCCCTGGGTAAGAAAAACTTCCATTAAAAAAAAAAAAAGAATACTAGAGATTTGACTCAACAATATTAACATTTCTATTACAACACTAAATGAATACATATACTCAAAACTGTTAGAATCCATGTTCTTATTTTTAGCAATAAATAAAAACCCTGCTATTTAAAAGATATCTTATTTTATATGCTTTCATCCTATGTAACAAAAGAACAATTTAGGAAATGATTCTTCATAATGCACCTGAAATTCAAACTGAAATAAAAACGTTTATTTTTTAATATCAACTTATTCAATCAGCTATACATATATATGAGGGCATTTATTAGGATTTGATCTCTGACTCTCTCATTTTGTCCTCCATTACTTTCTGCTCATCCATTCTTTTGGTATTACTTACCCCCTTGTTCACAGACAACACCCATATCTAGTCAAAGTAATATTTTTAAATTTTAGTTTTTTGTACATAGTATAAGAAGTTGATTGTACTAGTTTTTATAAAGCATCTTCAACTTCCTCATTTCCCCAAAGCAACCACTTTCACTACTTTTAGCTAACTATTTTGTATTTTAAAAAAGCTCTTTCCTTGCAATCACCTCCATCTAACATTCACAAGCATCCACCCTACCCCACCATACACAGATAAATACAATACAAGAAAAGTTGCCCAGCCGGTATGGCTCAGTGGTGGAGTGTCGACCTATGAACCAGGAGGTTCAGGTTTGATTCCGGTCAGGGCACACTGATGCCCGGGTTGCGGGCTTGATCCCAGGTGTGGGGCATGCAGGAGGTAGCAGATAAATGATTCTCTCTCATCATTGATGTTTCTATCTCTCTCTTCCTCTCTGAAATCAATTAAAAAATATTTTTTAAAAAAGAAAAGATTACACTACATTAATATAAAAATCCTAAATAAATAGCAAAAAGGAGCTAGCAATTTGTAAAAAGGATATATATCGTGGTCATGCTGGTTTTATTCCAGAAATGCAAAATTGATTTAACATTAGAAAATTAATTTTATAATTAATCATACTAACAGATTAAAATAAAAAAATCATATGATCATCTTAACCAATAAAAAAAGTTTGATGAACTTTAAACAACCTTTCATGTTTAAAACAAAAGAAAAACTTGAGGAGAAACCAAGATGGCGGCATAGGTAAACACTGGAGTTTGCTGCTTCGAACAACCACTTCAAAAATACAACTAGAAGAAGGAACAGACATCATCCAGAACCACAGGAAGGCTGGCTGAGTGGAAATTCTACAACTAGAAGGAAAGAGAAAAGCAT